ATTACTCTAGTAGCTTTTGTCTTGTCCCTGTCTCTTATACACATCTAGATGTGTATAAGAGACAGGCACAACATATCATACCTTCAATGGGTATGGTTTCATCAGTGGCAGTAGTAATAAGTTGCCTATCAGATTTCATAACTTTCAATTCATTAAATGGTTTACACCTTAACATATTAGAATTTAACACACTGACATGTGCTCCAGTGTCAACCATAGCAAATAGATTTGTCCTGTTAACATTGATAGTAATATAGTTACTTAGTACGGAAGCACCTAAGTGCCTGTCTCTTATACACATCTAGATGTGTATAAGAGACAGTCCATATATATCCATAGGGGACACACAACTAATAATCTATTAATAATAATGGAGTCGCAAGTGAAATATGAGTGTGACAACATATAAAATGTATTAAATATGTAAGATATAAAATAAATACATAATATAAAATAAATTTGAAATATTAAATTAAAAATAATAACGGGATTCGAACCTAAAATATTCTGTTGTGTAAGCAGACGCCTTAACCAAGTGGTCACTGCTGCTTTCGTTTAAAATTCGAATCCGAGTGAGGAAATCAGGTTCACACTCTGCACCCGTCCTTTTGCCATCCTATACCCAGTTGCCAACGAGGCCGTTGCCATATTGATGTGTAGGAAATCTGCAGAATGGAAAATGATTAGTGAAAGGAAGACCCTTTGAAAACTTGTTGAGGCAGCAGAGTATTTTCAGGTAAAAAAATGAGGACATTAGTAGAGCTATCTGAGCTTTTCATTATGTCTGAAGTCCTGCCCAATGGCGTATCTCGGGGGTGCGCGGTGGGGGAGGGGGAGTGCATAAAGACCTATGGCATGCGAATAAAATATGCTTTTACTTACAGAACATCTGTGTTTTATCGATTACTTAATGTATATGTTGGTTCTATGGCACAACGGTTAAAATCGTAATTTAATAAAATATTGAATATAATAATAATAATAATAGTAATGTAGTAGTAATACGAGCTTGCGCCCCTTACTTAAATAATCATCGAATTTCTAGAAGTAGGTCTACTAGAAAGAAACATTCAGCTTAAGTTTTTGATAACAGGAATTTGGCATGCATTGTCGTCTTCTCCTTTCAAATTCACACTTGGGATTTCAATGTACTGACTTCACAGTTGTTTATGGGTGGCGTTGTGAACTGCTTTCCAAGTTCCTGGTAGTCGTTCTGTCGCTGGTTAGTATCAAACTGAAGATTTGTGTATTGATCGTCAGTGACGTCAGCAGGAACTGTGTTACAGAATCGTTTATAGAAATATATTAATATTAACGCACTGAGAAAAAAATATTAACAATACGTACCGCCTATGCACCATTTTACCAAATTAGAATCTCGGTGGGGGAGGGGGAGTGCATAAAGACCTATGGCATGCTAATAAAATATGCTTTTACTTACAGAACATCTGTGTTTTATCGATTACTTAATGTATTATGTTAGTTCTATGGCACAACTGTTAAAATCGTAATTTAATAAAATATTGAATGGTCAAGCATGTGACGTCATCACGCCCCTTTGTTGATTGTCCGATTGGAAAATATTGTGCCGATATCACTGAGTGTGATTGCTTGCGATAGAATAATAATAATAATAACAATAGCAATAATAATAACAATAATAATAATAATAACAATAATAATAATAATAGTAGTGGTAGTGGTAGGGGTAGGGGTAGGGGTAGGGGTAGTGGTAGTGGCAGTGGTAGTAGTAGTGGTAGTAGTAGTAGTAGTAGTAGTAGTAGTGGTAGTAGTAGTAGTAGTAGTAGTAGTAGTAGTAGTAGTAATGTAGTAGTAATGCGAGCTTACACCCCTTACTTAAATAACATCGAATTTCTAGAAGTAGGCCTACTAGAAAGAAACATTTAGCTTAAGTTTTTGATAACAGGAATTTGGTATGCATTGTCGTCTTCTCCTTTCAAATTCACACTTGGAATTTCAATGTACTGAGCTTCACAATTGTTTATGGGCGACGTTGTGAACTGCTTTCCAAGTTCCTGGTAGTCATTCTGTCGCTGGTTAGTATCAAACTGAAGATTTGTGTATTGATCGTCAGTGACATCAGCAGGAACTGTGTTACAGAATCGTTTATAGAAATATATTAATATTAACACACTGAGAAAAAATATTAACAATACGGTACCACCTATGCACCATTTTACCAAATTGGAATCTCGTGCCATTTTTTTCCCACTTTTAATGTCTTTAGATTCGGTTTGTCGGGAGATTGACATGTCTGTAGGTTCGATATGGCTAGTGATTGTCCGGTTGCCGCATCCTGTTCCAACAGCATTTTGAGACTGGCATATCAGTATTAACACATCATCCACATCAGCGATATCCATCAACGTCACATAACTACGTGTGCTGTTTAGTACCTTGCATTCTTCAACCGCGGTATTTCCTATTTCTTTCTCACAGATAATCCATCGAAAAAAAGTTACATCGGGATATGATTCTACTTCACATCTGTACTGATTGCTGTCCATTTTTAGTGGGACGATCTTTACTCGAGGTTTCTTCAAAATAGCTGTGGAAGAATTGACCGGTCGTAACATCATCGATTGTTGTGCCACGCACCAGAATTTCCAACCGTCTAAACCAGTGACGTCCACTGGATAATCAATATCTACTCCATTTATAACGTCAGACTGCTCTTTAGTCGCAAAATAGACTGGAATTAGATGTTTGTCGTGAACAGATTTCATAATTGTGATATTGATGAAAATGTTTTTACCAATGTCAGCTCTGCAATTTATACTAACTCGATGAGTTTGATCTTCGGGCTTCCCCATCTCATAATTGCTTCTGTGTTGAGTTGAAGTATTGAATGTAGACAACAGTTGGCAAACGACAAAAGGATTTTCATTCAAATACCTTACTGCCAATTCGATGTTACGTTTGATATTGTTTCTGGCAAAAATAACATGGCAAGTGTACACACCATCATCCGTTGACAACACGTTTCTTATTTGTAGGTTGTATGTTCTTGTTGTCCTGATTGTTGTGTTTGAAAGTGTGTATTTAGTTACGATTTGGTCTTCTCCCACAACTTTTTGATTAGTATTTATCATATTGTTGTTATAGAACCACCTTAAAGTTGGTTTATCATCAGATGTAACAATGCACTTGAGGGTGACGGAAGATCCTTCGTTTACCTTAATTTGCTGTTGCTCTACCGTCACATTTGCTGTGGCACATGTTAAAATAAAACAGATTAGAATAAATCTTTGTCGACAACTCGTAAAACCTGTATGAATAATAAACCTTGTCTTTCTCATTCCAGTTTGATTACTCATTTTCATTTCGAAGTACTCTGATTAACATTCACCAATATAAACTCCGCATTGATTTTATCCAAATACCTGTATAGGCCTATCTATAACACAAAGGAGACAAAAGTAGGTTAGACATATTAAGACCTATCATTACATAGGCCTAAGTATTTTGGAATAGTTACAGCTGAAAGAAAATACATTTTTATAATCATTATAAAATGATGACAGTTGACAAAGGCTTTTCCATGCGTCTTTTCGTACATTACCAGTGAAATTGTTAAAGTCAGGCTCCCTAGGAAAACAATTTTTTTGATATGTTGTAGAGCTGATTTTTCTAAGACAGAAAAAAGTAGTTTGATCAAAAACTGAGCAACGGTGAATGAGATACAGATTTTTGAATAATTAAAAACTGGGGGAAAAGGTCTAAAAATGGGCGGTTACGCCCCTTTTCCCCCAGTTTTTAAATATTCAAAAATCTGTATCTCGTTAACCGTTCCCACATATTACAACATTTTTTTCCTCCGGAGTCTGACATTAAACCTGAATTGAGTTCCAAACTTGTCTTATATGGTCTTACCCAATCCTGCTTTGCTGATTTACCAATTATAAACACCTTGACCAGTATGATTGTGCGTAACTGTATGACTACAAAATTAATTAAATTCTGTATGCCTATTTATTCATTAAATATTAATAAAGTATTGTTGTTTTCACTTTCGGCGGTTCTGTTTTACTTTCGACCATGTATAGCCACTAATAATAATATTATTGTTCATGCTATGTATGTACAATATGAAATTTAAAATTTGGGTTTCGATGGTAAAATACAGCAACACGGAAATAATACACAGTTTTCTATGTTCATATTAGTATTGGATATAGGCCTACTTTCTTGGACAGAAGACGTCTAGGTCCATCATAATGAGGCATGTTGTGGCGAAATGACTAAGTTGTAGCAATAATTTAAATTCATGTTATTCTATAGTGAAACACAAAATTGGAATTTTAGGCAATTTTTTGAGCTCATATTTTATAGCTCATTTACTCAATACTGGCCAGTGCGACAAACTTAGGCCTAACCATAGGCCTAGGTACACAGCGGCGCATCTAGAAGTCTTGAATTGGGGGAGGGGGCGCGAAGGTGAAGTGGAGGGCTCGATTATCAGTTGAGGAACGATTCGCAAAATATGGTGATTTTAGGTGATTTTTAATTACTTGACCGTATTTGGGGGGGGGGGGGGGGGGGGGCGAATGTGGTAGCGCGAATAATTTGGGGGGTGCTCCCCGCGCCCTCTCCTAGATACGCCACTGTACTTGATTTTAACCATGAGAGAACTTATCACGAACACCAATAGAGTTAAGTATAATCGGTTGAATGAGAACAGCATGACTGTATAAGGACTTAACCCGGGTCAAATGCTTCTTTGCCTATTTTGCTGTTCAACCAACATACCGTAAAACCTCTAATTGAATCCCTGGGCTTCTTTTATTTATTTATTTATTTTTTATTTATTTATTTATTTTTTTTTCGAAATTTTGT